CTAACAATGACGTGTTAAATCTCGGGGTGACAGAGCTAAATTGAACGCGAACGCGTGCGAGCCGGTTCAACGTCGAATGTCGAATTCCCAAGGACGAGACCAACCGATCAAGGCATCGTTCCTACTTTACATATCGTGCCCTTCTTGTTCGAACCAAGCTGATCACGTACAAGCATTGTCAACGCAGGTCAAGTGGACCATCCTCAAACATTGCTCAGGATCAGGACCCGACAGCCGTCCAGAAATCGACGACTTTGAGCAGCTGACGACTTGATACCAGAACGTCCGCAAGGTACACCCAATTGCACAGGATTCGAAGCAGCGCTGTGCAGGTAGAACATCATGTCCGACGTTACTCTCGACTCGAAGCTTTTCCACTCTCGGGCGAGTAGGTTGTTTGAGAACTGGAACGTGAGTACCGGATCTTGCGTCGTGAGCGGCTCCTTTTGCTGCGAACCTGGACTGACATTCGCCACCTGCCTTAGAATGCCTCCCGGGATGCCGATCTCAAAGACCTCGCAGAAGTCAACGGTATATGCGTCGTCGTCGGTGATGCGGAGGAAGATTCACCAGTGATGAAGAAGGGCGTTGCCCTTCAGACTTGGCTATTGGGATACGAATTCCCGTCGACAATCATCACGTTTACCAAAACGTCTCCCTCGGAGAGGAAAATCACAATCTTGACGTCGCAATCAAAGGCCAAGCTGCTTACGCAGATCAAATCTACCGGATCGACCGAGGTTGAAGTGATTGTCAGGCCGAAAGATGCTGCTGCTGGTGCGAAAGCGACGCAGGACTATGTGGAAAAGGTTGTCGAGGCGACTGAAGTGGATGGAACTGTCACGTTTGGTCATTTCGTCAAGGATGCACCAAAGGGCAAACTGGCCGAAGACTGGCAGAAAATCACGAAAGCAGGTGCCACTGTCGCCGGCAGAACCATCAAATTCGTCGATGTCACCCCGGCAATCTCGGTCGTCCTCGCTTGCAAAGACGAAAAAGAACTCGATTTCACCGCGACTGCTTCCCGACTCTGCTCGACCATCATGACACACTACTTTAAACCGAAAATGGAAAGCATTATTGACAAGGAAAGCAAGGTGGCGCATGAGAATCTGGCCGTGTTGATCGAAGAGAAACTGGGGAGCGAAGGCAAAGAGCCGGACAAGAAGATTTGGAACAAGAACAAGCAGCTCGGACAGGTCGATTTCGGTCACTCGGATTGGGTGTATACGCCTATCATCCAGAGTGGTGGGGATTACGATCTCAAGGTCTCTGCGGAATCCAACGACAAGCCCATGACGAGCGGTGTCATTCTCGCCAGCATGGGTATAAAATACAAGGATTATTGCGCCAATATCGGACGAACTTTCATTATCGGCCCTCACAAGAGCCAGGAAGCAAACTACACGTTCCTACTCGACCTGCAGCAAACCGTGTTGAGGAACATGAAGGCCGGTACACCGATCAAGCAGGTTCACCAAACGGCCATCGACTATATCAAGCAAAAGAAACCCGAACTCGAGGAGCATTTCGTCAAGACGCTCGGTTTCGGAACCGGTATTGATTTCCGAGACAGCTCGTACCTCGTCAATGCGAAAAACGAACGAACGCTGCGTGAAAACATGGTGTTCAATCTCTCCCTCGGTTTCCAGAATCTGCCAGATCCGAAACACAAGGGCAAGAAGTATGCATTGTTGTTGACGGATACCGTCCGGGTGGGCAAGGAGACGGGTGTCTTGTTGACCGAGGGTAGCAGAAAGGTTAATGAAGTCATGTTGGATGAAGATGTCGAATCGGAATCGGAAGAGGAACGACCGGCCAAGGCCACCAAGAAACCGGCAGACAAGGCGGCAAAGACCAACGGGTCTTCGTCTCGTCGTACAGGAACAGGCGAGCCTGCACTTCGAGGTGTCGTTGTCGGTAGCAAGGTCCTTCGTGCCAAAACGCGAAACCAGGGTAGAGAAGTCGATGAAACAAAGTCTGAAAAGATGAAGCAGCATCAACGCGAACTGCACGAAATGCTGAAGAAAAAGGGTTTGGCGCGGTTCAAGTCGGGTGACGGCAAGGCTGGGAATGAGGGAAAGACGTTCAAGACGTTTGAAAGTTACAAGCGGGAAGAACAGTTGCCGAATGCGATCAAGCACAAGAGGATTTATGTGGATGAACCGAGGAACACGGTAGTACTGCCAATCTATGGCTTTGCGACGCCGTTCCACATCTCGACAATCAAGAATGTCAGCAAGACCGAGGAGGGAGATTATACAGTGTTGCGAGTGAATTTCCAGTCTCCCGGTCAGATTCTCGGTCGAAAGGAGGATACAGTGAGTGTCTCTTCCGTGTGTAGTGAATGATCGACGCTAATCTAGCCCCTGTAGCCATTTGAGGATCCCAATGCCACTTTTATTCGTTCCGCCACCTTCCGCTCGACCGATCACGCACACATGCAAAAGGTCTCCGAGCAGATTACAAACCTGCGAAAAGCCCAGAACAAGCGTGAGAATGATAGAAAGGAATTGGCGGATGTCGTTGAGCAGGAAAAGCTTATCGAGATCAAGGGTATTTGATTTTCGTTGATATGAGCATGCAGAGTACTGATTTGGTTGCGACAGGTCGACGTCCACACAAGCTAATCGACGTACACATCCGACCTGCTCTGGATGCCAAGCGTATTGCTCCGGGAGAGGTTGAACTGCATGCGAATGGTCTTCGATACTATGCTCAGAACGGCAACAAAGTTGGTAAGTACGTGACGGCTCGCTCAGAGAATCCAGCTAACACTTGCTTCATAGACATCCTATTCAGCAACATCAAGCATCTATTCTTCCAGCCATGTGATAACGAACTACACGCCATCATCCATGTTCACCTCAAGGCACCCATCCTTTTGAACGGCAAGAAAAAGGCAAAGGATATTCAATTCATCCGAGAAACCAGTGATGCCATGCACGACGAGACGGGTAACCGAAAGCGAAAGGCGCGGTACGGCGATGACGACGAAATCGAGCAGGAACAGGAAGATCGACGACGACGACAGTTGCTGAACCGGGAATTCCAAGGGTTTGCTGCGAAAATTCAAGAGACCGCCGAGACGCAAGACTATCAATTTGAGGTCGATGTTCCGTTCAGAGAACTCGGATTCAACGGTGTACCTTACCGAAGTAACGTTCTCCTCCAGCCCACGACCGACTGCCTTGTCAACTTGACCGACCAGCCTGTCCTGGTAATCACCTTGTCCGAAGTCGAGATTGTGCATTTGGAAAGAGTACAGTTTGGGTTGAAAAACTTTGACATGGTGTTCATCTTTAAAGACTTTGCTCGCGCACCAGTGCACGTTAATACCGTGCCGGTAGAGTCGCTGGATGATATCAAGGAATGGCTAGAGTGAGTGCGTTAGAATTGGGTCGCTGAGCCGTCGCTAATCCGATTCGACCTAGTTCGATTGATATTCCATTCTCCGAGGGCCCCGTCAACTTGTCCTGGCCGGCAATCATGAAGACTGTACAGGAAGATCCGAAAGAGTTCTTCCAGGAAGGTGGTTGGGAGTTTTTGGGTGGCGGTGGAGATGGGGTAGGTCTTTTACGTCGAACCGAGTTATTCGCTTGTCTGACATTGCCTTATAGGACGACGGCGAATCGGATTCCGAAGAGGAATCGGTGTTTGAAGCCGACAGTGACGTTGTCGATGACGAGTCTTCAGACAGCAGCGACGACTCGGATGGTACGTGTTTCTTCCGTTCATTACGTCTTCCATGCCTAACTGCGCTCGCACCACAGCTTTCGAGGAATCCGAGAGCGATGCCGGGTCAGATGATGACGATTCCGGAGAAGATTGGGACGCGTTGGAAAGAAAGGCAGAGCGAGATGATCGAAAGTTCAAAGAGGCGAACGGGGATGATTCAGGGGACGATACTCGAAAGGCGGCGCGAAAGAAGAGTGGCAAGCGATAATTGTAGAAAGTCTATGTAACTAGGTCGATTTCGACGATCGATGTGCTCGCCATATGCTGATGACTATCATTGATTGTTTATTATACAAGATGGTGGCGCTTTGCGTTCAATTTCAGACTGCTCTACTACTTCTTCTTGGGACCTCCCAGTGGCTGACCAATCGACTTGGGATCACCTCGAAGCTTGACACCTAACACCCTCTCCATCTTTGCCAACAGCGCCGTATTCGGAACAGCCCTCCCGCTCTCGTAATCGGCGATAATCTGGGGCTTTTCGTTGATCTTGGTCGCCAAATCCTTTTGGCTCATGCTCTTTCCCGCGGCGTCCTTCTTTTCCTGCCTAGCGTTGGAGATGGCCTGACCAACACTCTTGCTGACCGTCTCGGGAGGCTTGACTTCATTTTCACGGTCGAGCTTTGCTATTGCCTGGTAGTTGGCAGGACCCTTGGCGGCTGTGGTGTTTGTTCCGACGACTCGGTCTTTAGCAGACGTTGAGACGGCGATACCCATACGCTTGGCGGCGTTGACGGCGGACTCGGATTTGGTGACGGTTGCGTGGTTCTTCTGACCGCCTCGGAGAACGGTGACTTTGTCCCACTCTTCAGACTGCAGGTGACGAGGTGTTAGCAGGCGATGAAAATCGCACAGCGTTTGAACGTACCATTTTGGCTAGTTGTGGTTGCTTGTTGGGTATTTGATAACAGGTGGTGGCTGACTGAAACGGATGTCGCGTCAGTACGATGGAAAGCAGGTAGCTGGGAATTCTACTCACGAGGCTACTTGTAGCAAGATACTAATGGTGTAGCAAGGTTGCAACGGTGTGGCGATATTCAATGACTAGAACGACTTGAACCCATTCACCATTCAGTGGTTGACCTCCGATCGCGGTTTCGTCATTGCTCGCGCTTAGCTCCCTTTGTTCGAGGCGATTCGACAAAAAGTGGAGGCAGAAAAGCGCAGCGGGTCATACCATACGGTGCAAGCTGCGGTACTGTGATTTTACGAGGTTTTAATTTTATGCTTTGTTTTTGCCAAATGAGTTTAGGACATCAAATGGTTTTATAGTTCAGTGGAAGAACGTGTGCTTAACATTTAGGACTTCGGTTCAATGACACGCACAAGGTCCAGAGATCGAAACTCTGTAGAATCATGTCTTTTTGCCGCCTCCCACGCCCCCAGTTCGATATATAGCAGCAAGGAAAGAGTATATTTGTCTAGAGGGGACTCAGGGCTACGTCTGGTAGCAAATTTCAGCCTTGTAGCTTTCGAAACGCCCATGTTTTTGGACCTTGGAAGTCGCACGCCACCTAAACCAGAATGCGACCGAGTTGTTGCCCTGAGACTTTGCTTTCTCTTCCCAACACGACATACAAGTTTCCGGTCCAGCAAAAGGTTCAACCTAGAGTCTAGAGAGATTCACCGACGAGGAGATTGTCTTTCCACCGAACCCCCCTTGAAAATGATTATCAACTGCGTTTTTAGATCGCTATACCCTCACGTCTCAGACTGGAGTCACATGCTCCGAGCGTCGCGATTGATCAGCTGTTACGCTTCGAGCGGGAGCTGATGACGTTGATGGCACATCCCGCGCTGTGACATCCTGCCCGAAAAATGTGCATGTTCCAATGGTGTTCTGTTCTAGAGCCCAGTGCCCTTATTGCACACAGGTCTAGCAGCTTGAGGAGGGCAATCGAATGGCTAGTCCGGTGCTTTGTAAATTAACAGAGGTTGACCTTCTGCGTGTTGCTGCGAGTGCTGTTTCGACTGCCATATCAAGCGCCCGAATTTGTTGAAGGAATAGGAATGCATGTTCGTACTAGCTTGACAGAGTCCCGAGGTCCTCCCGAAATCAGATGCTGAACTTTAAAAAACTGCCAGCTACAGCCAAAACTTCATGTGACCGTCAATCTACTATATATTCATCACTTTGACGGATGCTGTCAGTTCGCTCCCGGTATGCTGCCTGCAAGGCCGTGCTTTCACATTGCAATTGAACACGATCCCCCATCAACGTCATGCTCACTCCCGCCTGGCGAATTCTCGCCTTGATCGCGACTATCACGTTTTGGTCCGTTTGCGGTGAGGCAACACCCAACCCTCGTCCACAAGAACGACACGTATCGCACATTTTCACACGAGCACCGTTCCCGGACCACTCGTCTTCCTCGGGCTCGGATAACCTTCTCGCCAACGTCTCGTTTGTCGGATATGACAACTTTGCCTATCGAGACAGCGTCGTGGCGGCGCAAATGGTCATTTCTGCCAACGCATCCGCCACCAAACCTTCGAGGCTTATCGTCGCGTTCCCACAAGGCAACACTGGATTCTTGACCTACTTTATTCCATCCAACGGTTCGGCATCGACACCTTTACAGGTGGTCCCGGATATCAAGACCTTCGCGTCGGTCACGTTCCCCAGCGTACCTACCGCACAGAACGGGACAAACCAAACCGGTGTCGCTTGCGATCTCGCTTTCAACAATGACATGTCCCTTGGCGTCACGTTGATTGGATCGATCCGAACAGTGCGAGATTATACGGAAGGCGCTGGACTGACGCACGAAATCTTCAACTACACGTTGGGCGCATACAATGAATCCTCTCTCCAATTCGTCCGAAAGTGGATCAACGGGTCCACCGTACAATACCTGACGTTCGTGGCAAAGAACAATGCCCGTTTCGCTGTTACTCCTAGTTCGAACGTCACATTGCCACCCCTGGTGTCCTTTGAAAGAGTCAACAAAAGCATGAACAGCTCCATGACATTCAGTACAACCTTCAACTACACCGACAAGCCGATGCTGGCGCAAGGATTGGACGCCAATAGCCTCTTCTTGACTCAAGTTCCGATCAACGGTAACGGTAGTGCTGCGCTCGTCAAGGTACTCAACGCGCTACAGGGAGTCAACAACACCTCTAGCAATGGGACTGCGACTCTCTCCAACTCGACCAGCCCTGCCGAAGTTCGCCAAGTGTCGTTTTTGGCTTACAAGGATAAATTCCTGGCGGGTGGTTGGCGGTTCTTGACTTGTACGTCTCGGAATTGTAGTTTCTAGGTAACATGCTAACGGTCTCTTGTAGACTTTGGTCGAGATACCCTGTTGACCTTGCGTCTACTCTTGCCGACCCTGACCTCTACCGCGTCGGAGGCAGTACTTACCGGAGTGATGGAGCGCTTGAACGGTACCGGTCTGGTTTGCCACGAGGAAACGGTAAGTTGCACCGGGATCGGGTAAAGCAGATGATACTAATTGCACTGGAATAGATCGGCGACTATGCCTCGTTCGCCAATGTCCAGAACAACCAGTCAAGCCTCGGCGCTTCCCCAGTGTACAACTATGTCATGGCGGATACCGACTACCTTCTCTTGCCTTCTGTTTCGCACTACTTTTTGTCAACACCGCAAGGTACCAACAGATCGACAGCTTTCTTGGCGAGGAATGCAACGCTGCAGAACGGCACTTACGGGCAGCTCCTGCTCCGAAACGTCGACCATATTTTGAACATGTCTAAACCCTTTGCAACCAATGCAAGTTGTCAGAATTTGGTCGCAATCAGAGATCCGGTGGTGGGCAATTGGAGGGACTCGTCACCGGGAATAGGGTATGGCAAGATTCCGTTTGATATCAACAGTGAGTTTCGATGACGTACGAGGAGAGACAGCTGAACATATCTCCATACTTCCAGCCGCATTCGTACCTTCGGCTCTCAGAGCCATCGTGGACTTGGCGAATGCAGGTATCATCCCCGCCAACTATTCGACCTCGGCGAGCTCCATGATTGGAGTATGGGAATCCGCTGCTTCGCCCTGCTTCCAGGTCACAATCTCTCAAGACGTCGCGCAAATGCGACTGAACAACTATGTCCAACAAGCTAACCTCAGCCAATCTTTGCTCGGTGGTGGCGCTGGCGGCATGAACTCGAGTAGTGGTAATGTAACCTTTTATGCAGTCAGTTTGAATGCAAACGGAACACCTGTAGAGGTATGTTGGTGCCCGAACACCAGATGTCTCCCACGTACTCACTCCTCCGGGGCTCAGATACTTAATTCGGACCTCGGATTCACTCTTCTCTACGCCAATAACGTCTCTCCTGGTATACTGCAAGCCGTCGTGAATGCGCTCCAACCGTATCCAAAGGGTAAGCGATACGACTCTCGTGAGGATCGTGGAATTGAACCAGTGCGCTTGCATAGGTCTCCTGACCAACGTAGGAATGGTGGTGGCGAATGCTGCCTATGATTCCAACACGACCAACATCAAAGTATTCGACAACACCGCCTACCATGGAGCCGTTGTCTGGTAAGTCCGCTCACTAGGTTATTCGCTTTGGAAAAGTTCGCTCACAAGGATTGGCAGGTCTTGGCAACAAGCCCTGATGGCTGCCGGACTGGCCAAACAGCTAGACCTATGCGGGAAGGCGAATGGGACCAACGTGGACTATCCCGAACGATCCCTGGCGAATAACGTTCCGACGTGGTGCAATACCTCTCTTGTCACCGATTTGCAGAGCGCTCAAACAAGACTGTGGCAAAGCATCGGGGGATCATCTTCGGGTACGTCTTGTGGACGCCGAGATGGCAAATGCCCATCTGACCGCTCTCTCGCATTACAGCCCTATTCAGTGAAGTATACACACCTTTGTTCAGCAATACCACCAATTCCTTTACGATCGGCGACCTTGGAGCCATCTCTCCTACGGGAACAGAAGGCGACGCTATTCAGCTTTGGGCGTATGCCTTCCTGGCCGCCGTGGACCCGCGTTCCGGACGACCTGTAGCGTCTGGGCTTGCCTAGCTGGAGAAGGTGAATGCGCGATCAAACGTGCAGTGTATCGAAATCTAACAAGCGCAGAGAACACGCAAAGCGCCTATAATAAACATTTGATAGCGATAGTAATGAACCGAACACGATGCACAGGCTTCAGCTTCCGATATGTTAGTCAGCGGTCGATGTCCAATGCCGCGAAAGGAACGGTAACGTAATGAGTCGCACCGTCTTGTAACCTTTCAGAGAAAATTCCATTCATAAGCATAACGGAGAACAAGAAAAGAGTTACAATGTCAAGATCAGGCGATGAACAACAAGTTGCAGTCCTATCACACAAATTTGCGCATGGAACAAGAAGTCAGCGCCAGAACCATGTATCAACGCGCATTGTGACAGTCAACTTACCATCGGATGACTGGCCGACAGTTGCGGCTTCTGAGAATACTTGCTCTTGAGCTCGTCACGTAACGAGTTGAGTAATTGTATGTAGGACTGTTGGGGGTACCTCGTCAAGGCCGTGATGAATGCCTAAAAGCACGTTACGTCGGAAGATTAGCCGCTGTTATTCTTGCGGACATGATAGGCAGGAACGCACGTAAGACATCGCACCGGTTGCTTTAGCCGCAATGCTTGTGTCGGCAGACTGAAGCAGGCAAAGCGTGTCAGACGATTGTGCGTTTCGGTTGTTCCAGTGCAAGAGGGACTTACCGTCTGATCGTCTTTACACCCAGACCAGGAGACAACATCCGCAGGACTCGTCTTTGTCCTAGACCAACACAAACCGCCGTATCAGCACTCCGTTCCACATGCGCTCTAAGAAACGGGACCTACTGTTTGGCCTTTTCCGCCGCTCCAGACTGGGAATTGATGAATTGTTTCCCGAGACCCATCAGCCCGCTCATCATCCCGCCTACATCGCCTTTGAGGTAGCTAACACCGGCAGACATGAGTCCCTGCCCAGCTTCCGCGAGGAGGTTTGGTTCCTTGATTTTTCCTTCAGTCGAGTAGATGTACGGCAAATCCAGAGCGCTACGTGAGACGGCGTGTGTTGGTTATTAGCTGTCCGTATGAGGGTGGACGGGCAGGACGTACCTCGCGGAATGACAACTATCAAAGATTGCTGTCAACCTACAACCGGCAGGCAACGGCTTGACCAACAATGTATGTAAATCATCATCCACGATATGCCCGGCCGTCTTGAAATCCAAAGGATAAATAACCTCGTCATTCCCATCATCTTCGTCCCCGTCCAAATCCTTTGTTTGGCCACCGTGTCCGGAGTAGTGGAAGAAGAGCGAGTCGTTGGGTTTCGCACCTGCGACGAGCCATTGCATGCCTGCGATCATGTTGGCTCGGGTTGGGATTTGTCGAGGGTTGCGTG